GACAGAGAGAGAAAGAGAGAGAAAGAAAGAAAGAAAGAAAGAAAGAAAGAAAGAAAGAAAGAAAGAAAGAAAGAAAGAAAGAAAGAAAGAAAGAAAGAAAGAAAGAAAGGGAGAGAGAAAGAAAGAGACAGAGAGAGAAAGAGAGAGAGAGAGAGAGAGACAGAGAGAGAGAGAGAAAGAGAGAGAGATACTATAGCCGTATATGAGCTATCTTTCCTCCAGGAATTCAAGCTAACAAGTGCAATTCTTTCTCCATGTATACATTTTCTTCTGGTCCTTTGCTTTCATCCTTGCAACATCCCTTCGTAAATTAGGCTGAGAGAAGTCATCTGGGGAATTTAATGATTAAGTAGGGATAAAAACCTATCAAAGCCCCAACCTGGCTCAGGAAATAGCCCACAAAAAATATTTGCTACAATAAACATTTAAAACCCAGTAAATGTTGGCATTTACTGCTTTAAGGCTGTGGTAAGCTGAGAGAGAAATGATCCTGACATTTTCTGGTGAGTGTTGATGCTCTACGGGAGAACAACACCCATTTGATCATTTACAGCACAGAAATGCAACCAGCAGGAGTTCAATGTAGCTTTAGAAGCCTTCTGGAGGTAATCAATTCAGGACTGCTACCTTCCCTTTAGTAACCAAGATGAAAGCAAGAAAAAAGGAGAGAGAGAGAGAGAAAAAATAAAAATATTGATTCCATCCATCTCTCACATACTAGCCATCCCATCATCATCACCACACCTTATTTAGACTATCCCCAAGGGGATTACAGCCTTCATCCAATAAAACTTCCACATTCCTGATTTTTGGGGGGGAAGAGAGATGCAAAACAGGGTCACGTCTCCAAATCTTTTTAAGGCTCACTGGGAAATAACAAGTATCACCTTTTGACATTTCACTGTAATTTGGTAGCTATCTAAATATGTGCTGAGCATTTTTCACAATGGGCAAACGCATCAAAGACCAAGTTATGTATTGGTAAGCCAAATGTTTGATTCCATAGCAATTTCTGTCCTTCGTTTTAAAAGAAAGTACATTCCTGTATTTACAAGGAAGTGTTCACATTTATTTATTTCTTTAAATCTCCTTATAGATAAACAACACTTCAGCAAATTATTTCAACTCTTTTGCATATAAATGTTTATTTCCGAGTTATTTATTCTGCTTTAGTTGACAACAGTCAAGACATTGTGACTATTCTCAACCCACCTCTGCTCCCTTCTGCTTTCTCATTCATTAGAGACAACAGAATAACAGAGTTGGAAGGGACCTTGGAGGTCTTCTAGTCCCCCCTCCTACAGTTTCTAGCCCTTATTAGCATGGTAGATTGGAATATGACCAGACATGTTCACATCTATCTTGCTAACAAGGGCTAGAAACCTGAAAAGCTGAAATTTAATAAATGCTGTGTTCCATGTTTATGATAACCATTTGATCACCCCACATTGACAAAGTCTATTTTGTAGAGTCCAGGCAATAATATACAAATCAATTACAAACCAATCGTAAAAGTCTGAATCAGAAGTGATTCTAATGTTGAATTCACACAATCCTTCTAACCCAACTATCTCACTTCAAAAGGCTCAGAGGAATAAATAGGAGAATACGGAGTTAGCAGGCTTAAATATCTTGAAGTGCCACAAAATTAAATCACTATAACTACAGTTTATGCATTTTATTACATATCCTATATATATTCAACTAAATTATGCTGAAATCATTTCTGAAAACACCAGCATATTATATTTATTTTTATATATTTATAAAAATAATATGCTAATCTATGTATATGTGTGGGTGTGTGTTATTATACATTACACAGAGAGAGTATAATATATAAACACACACACATGGTGTGTGCATGCATATATGTATATACAGCATACACACATATACACATACACATTCATTCTAGAAAGGGAAATTTTTGTCTGTTTATGGATACAATGAACATTATTTAAAGCAGAAGTGGAGGGAATTCTCTGCATATTGTGTCTTTGGCAGTATCTGTATAACTTTATATTTTACGTATTTCATTGTCAGAACATTGTCGGAGATATAAAACAAGCATTTGTGAATTAGAGTAGTCAGGGGATAAATAACGGGTACGATGCAGTGCATCTTAAATGAAAGCTTGTATATTGGAAGATAGGTTTCTCCTTATTCCTTCCTTCTTGAATAGCACTTCCTTTGAAAATTATTCATTAAAAAAAACTATGCTGAATTTCATCTGGAACCAAAGAGCTCTTGAATCTGTCAAAAGAGATCTATGGCTATCAGAGAGCAGGTGTTACAAGAGAGCCAGTTCCCCATTCAAAGAATAGGATCACTCTGGAAAGCCCATCACTATGAATTCAATGGGGAGATGTAAAAATTGAATTGCAGCAATTGGTATCCATAATCCTTATTCTTTGCTAATATTGGCTCTGGCAGTCCCTAACCCATGTTGCCAAGAGTTCCTCTATAGAGAAACTATATAGTTATATAATTTATATATAAACTATATAAATGCAATTCCAGGATGAATTACAGATGTACTGTATATCATTGGAACTTAAGCCCAATGGATTTAAGAATTTGATCCAGATCCAGATTACTAGATTCAGATTTACCTTCCGAAATCCAGCCTTCAGGTGTGAAATGATAGTGGGAGGAATATTTATTTTTGTTCAGTCTTTATTTATTACTATTCTTTCAATATCCAGGCCCAAAGCAGCCCACAAATAAATTGAGAATTTAGTACCAATGTCAAATAGCCCTTCCCAACTCTGTATTTGACAGATAGACCATGTTTCCTAGAATTTCCTAATACAGCCCTACAATCTTAGGTGGGTGAAGGCTGAGATAAATACTAAAAATTATAAGGCCATAGCACAATCCAATCATATTTTAGAGGGAAAGGAGGGTGACCAATGAATATATGTTGCAGAATAAAAATATATTCTGTCAGTGCCGCAGGAATCATAAAAATGATGGCAGTCAAGTTTCCTCAGGAAAATTCTTCCAGAAATGGAGCAGTTTATTTGAAAAACTTCAAGGGTAACAGATACCAGATAATCAGAGTTGGAAGGCACCTTATAGGTCATCTAGTCCAACCCCCCACCCAAGCGGGAGACCCTACACCATTTCTGACAAATGGCAGTCCAGTCTCTTCTTGAAGGTCTCAACTGATAGTGCTCCCACAACTTCTGAGGGCAACTTCTGTTCCATTGGTTGATTGTTCTCATTGTCAGAAAGTTTCTCCTTATTTCCAGGTTAAATCTCTCCTTGTTCAGTTTCCATCCATTATTCTTTGTCTGGCCTACAGGCACTTCAGAAAATAGATTGATGGCTTCCTCTCTGTGGCAGCCCTTCAAATATTGGAAGACTGCTATCCTGTCTCCCCTGGTCCTTCTTTTCATTAGACGAGCCAAGCCCAGTTCCTGTAACCGTTCTTCATATGTTTTAGTCTCCAGTCCCCTAATCATCCTGGTTGCTCTTCTCTGTACTTTTTCTAGAGACTCAACATCTTTTTCATAATGTGGTGACCAAAACTGGATGCAGTACTCTAGGTGTGGCCTTACTAAGGCTTTATAGAGTGGTAAGGAGAGGCTCACCTACCTTCCCTACATGTTTTTTACATGGTAGGTCTCTAAACAACTTCTCCCAACAATTCTGTGCAGATATTCAGCAGTTTGGTGGAAGGAACTACAGCACCCAAAAAAGCCCAGAAGTTGAGAAATTATTCTGAGGTATATCTTCCGAAAATGGACATTCTAACCAAGAACTATCATAAAATATAATGGTTTGCAGCATCACTGAAAGGGCCAGTAGAATCAGGAAGATCTCGTTGTTGCAATTCCTCTCACCCAAGCTCATTTGAGTGACCAAATATTTTTAATTCTCAAAGCAACTCTACAACAGGACTGAAATAAATAAAATGTCATCATTTTTGTCCAGGAATGACAGAATTGGTTGGCCCAAGGTAGTTTTCTTTGGGAACTGTCAAATAATAG